ACTCTGATACCACTGCAGGAAGAATAAGATTTCTGAGAAAACTTCACTTCTGAGGCTCTGGTGCAGAGGATCTTCCTAAGAGAGCAAGAGAACTGAGAAGTTCAGATGTACCATCATCTCTGTAATGAATAAGAAGAAAAAGCAATCTATTTTTGGGGAACAGTTAAGAGAAGAGAGAGACTTCCTCTATGGAAAAAGTATAAAGATATAGGGGTTATTGAGGAATACTAAACAAGAATATTAAACAACACCTAGTAAACACTTAGTACCTTGGATCTCATATTCTGCATAAAGAAATAGCAGCTTACAACTGAAGAAATTTGAAAGTACTAAAAGGAACCAAAGTAAGGACAACATAAACTCAACTTTAGACTGATTCAACATTGACCCTCTCTCACTAATAGCAAGAAAAAGAATAGTAGTCCATGTTTCTGGATATAAACATTATTTTCCTCAACATCTACTTTTTCTTTTTCTTTTCCTTTCTTCCTTTCTTTTTGGTTCCAGGGATTGAACTCAGGGGCATGTTACCACTGAGCCACATGCCTAGGCTGTTTTTTTTTTTTTTTTTTAAATTTTGAGACAGGGTCTCCTTAAATTGCTGAAGCTGGCTTTGAACTTAAAATCCTCCTGCCTTATCCTCCTGAGCTACTAGGATTACAAGTTTACACAATGGTACCTGGCAGCATCTATTGATTTTAATCGTAATGTCTGTCATTCAGTAAAAAAATAATGAGACATAAAAGAAAGCAACACATGAGAGTAGAACATATTGCAAAGAGTACAAAACAGTAAAATAAAACAAACAAGCCACCACAAGTTAAACCCAGAGACAAATCAAAAAGTTTAAATACCAGATAGACTTTAATATAATTATCAATGATATGTTAAATAATACAAGGTGAAAGGATACAAAGTTAAATAAAAGTCTGCATGGCCAAATGGAGAATTTGATCTCAGGAATGGAAATTTAATAAAGGGTTCAATGGAAAGACTAGAAACAAAAAACTCTATGTCAGAAATGAAAAATCCCTGTGGTAGAATTATCATGAGGCTGGAAAGAGCTGAGGAAAGAATCTATGAACTGGAAGAAAGACAATGGAAATCATCAAAATTGAAACAAATATGGGGAGAAAAAATAAAAGCAACTCAACAAAATCAAATACTCAAAAGATGATAGAAAATGTAAATGAGAAGACAAATGATACTTTCTAGTGTATTCATTAGCACATTCAATCAACTAATACCAATTGTCAGCAAGGAAGTAAACCTCTCACCTCTTGATCCTCATAATGTTTAACTCAAAAAGAGAAGGATAAGCATCATTTCCAGGTATACCTGCATCATTCACAAGATGGACCATATTCTGGGCCACAAAATAGTCTTAATACACTTAACATGTCAAAATCACTCAAAATATGTTCTCTGAGCAGGATGATACTATGCTATAAATTTTGGGGGATAAATCCAGTAATTATACAGAAAATATCTGGAAAAATATACAATGTTTAGAAAATGAACAATATACTTCTAAAGAACCTATAGATCAAAGAAGAAATTACATAGTGAAAGAACTCTCTCTAGACAGATGGATAAAGAAAAACGATGAATCAAGAGACCAGGAAAGTCACCAATATTAGAGAATGTCACTGTGGATTCCACAGACATCATTGGAAAAAATATTATGAACACTTCGTGCCCATCAGTTCAAGAACTTAGGTAAAATTATCAGATTTCTACAAAGACTCAAAGATTATTAATAAAATATTACACAAATATCCATATGTTTATTAAAACCTTGAAATTTTAGGAAAAATAATTGCTGAGGAGAAAACATGGAGAAAGAACCCTGTTACTTGAACATTGTCAAAATAATTAACTTGAAATAGATTATACACTTCGTTTAAGAACTAAAATTCTGAAACTTTTGGGAAGAAGCAAAACTGCATTTAAAAATCTTAGGTTCTAAAGTAAGACAAATATTTCTTAGTACCTAAAAAGTACTGACCACATACCAAAAAAATTGATATTCTAGATTAATTGTTCTTTGAAAGACACTAGTAAGAAAGTGAAAAACAAAAGAAAACCAGCAATTTCTCCACCAAATAGATATGTCAATAGCATAGGTCCCACAAAAATATAAATATCATAAATTATTCAATTAATGGATCTTGAAACAAAATGAGATGATGTTTTGCACTGGTGGCAAAAGCAGAGTAAAAGGCTATTAATACCAATTGTCAGCAAGGAAGTAAACATCTCACCTCCCATACGTTGTTGGTAAGAATGAAGACAGTACAGCCATTTTGGAAAATGATTTGGCAGTTTCTTGTAAAATTAAATAAGCACCTATCAAATAACACAGTAGTTCTATAATTAGGTACTTATCCAAAAGAAAAAGAAAAACACATAAAACTAAGACACACACAAATGTTTCTAGAAGATTATAAATTTCCTGTAATAATTATCAAGAACCTGAAATGTCAGAAGGTGATTGCCTGCAAAGGGGCCCCAGACAATTTTTTGTTATTGTTTTTTGGAGACGTTTTTTGAGATTATGAAAATATTCTATTTTATTGGTGGGTGCCATAATGTACGTTTGTCTAAGACTATTGAGTTGAACACTTAGAGGTGGATATTTAAATGTCACTTCAGATAAGCTCACAAGAATCTCTGTGAGGTGGGGCTTGATTATTATTGAATGAATCAATTGCAAGTTGAGCTGGGGTGGAGGAGGCATTTTTTGAGGGGAACACCTGAAGTCACTATACTTATGTATTATCTCTTGGACTGGTGAGATTTTCCAGAAAGGATGTGCCTCCTTATCATCTTGTATGGCATAAGTCTAGCTGTAGAATTGTAAGGACTAAACATGCCAGAATCTCAACACTCTGCTCACAAGACTGTACTTAAACTGCTTCTGTTTCTATAAAGTATCTTGGCTGTCAACCTTAACCATGCTTGGTGTTTCCTAGTTTACAGATTGCCTCACTAACCTCGTTAAATAATTGAACTTCAACCTTCTGCCAGAGTGGGTAAATACTTGCATGGTAAGAATGTGAATATGCTTTGAATACAACAAGAGATACGAAACATTGTGTTTATATGTGTAATATGAACTGTAATGCATTCTGCTGTTATATATAACAAATTAGAATAAAAAATAAAAAAGAAACCCTTAAAAAAATGAGGATCAGTGGGTCCTCATTAACATTCCTCACTCTTTCTCATATTCAGTCAACACTTGTGCTTTTACTACAAATTGAGGTTTTCATTGCACTCTTAGAAGCCCTATTCATACCTACTTTTAGGTTTATTAAAACTTGTTTAGAATAAATTTATCCCATTTCCTTATGTTGCAAACTTTGGATTCAGCTTTCTTTTTTAATTAATTTTTTTTCTTTCTCTCTCTCTCTCTTTTTTTGCTAATTGAATTTCTATTTTGTCATCAGACTTTAGATTCTAAAGTTTTGTTCTACCGTTTTCTTTACTTTTATTGTACTCTTTTGCTGTTTGAGCTTTTAGATTTATGCCTATAAAAATAACTTGAATGCTGGGACTTGGAAGAGAACATACTCATTTGTATGTTTTTGATCTGCTATCTTTAACTTTTTGTAGAGTGGGTATTGTTCTCTCTTTAAGTAAAGAGAAAAAAATACAAAATATTACTATTGCTTTCAGAGATAGTAATAAGATCTGTAAAAGTATACGTACTGACCGAGGTAGATTGGGCCCCCAGAAAGAGATGATGGTCATATTGCCAAGAAGACTCACCTGTCGCTTTAAACCATGGCTCTCATGTTGACAGATTCACAATATTTATATTATTAAAATGCACAGTATATGCTGATTTGCCCTCACCATGTAGGAGAGTACAGGCTTAAATTATACTTCACAAAAAATGTCAAACTGGAATGCCAATTTACTAGTTTCCAAAAACAAATAAAGCTATCATGTGGACATGCATATTTACAGGACCATGGTCAACACGACCTTTTGCTTTAAGCAGGTCCACATTGGAAGCCAAATTCTATGTAGAAGTTTGCTGAAGCAGGACAGACAAGTCTTATGATCCAGATATTTATTGGCATCTGCATATGAGAGCACTAGATTTGCCAGAGAACCTGGTGTGATTGAGTCATTGGCAAGGAAGCCATCTCTTTTGGAAAGGGCTTCAGCGAACCTTGCCAAAGCATGGCTCTCCAATGCTTATTTTGTATGTATTTCCTTTGCTAACACATTTCTCTGAAAGAAATGTTTTTCAATTACCTTTGACCCTGGTATATTTTATTGTAACTTTGTTTATTTATTCTGTAATATGTTTTCTATTATCTTACAATTAAAATCCAAGATTCCAGTTTTGTATTCAACTTGTTAGCTTGGCTTGGATTATGTCCTTTACACTTACCAGTATTTAATGTGAATTGTTATTCCAACAAGTACAGACACATTTTATTTATCTATAATGCAATTTAAATTTAACTCTTTTATACATGGAAACATAAAATATGTTCAATAATATTTTTCATATTTAAAAACTAAAATACTAACACATGAATATGAGATTTATTTAACTTTTTAATAGTATGATGATTTCATTTTATTTTTATGTAATTTTTAAATTTATAGAATGTATTAGAATGCATTATAATTCTTATAGGGCACAATTCTTTTATATCTCTGGTTGTATATATAGTATATTCACTTTTAACAATGAAAAGTATAAAATATAAAGTCATGATTTACTACAAACATAGTTGAAAGCATCAAATTAAAAATTTTGACAAATATCATAAATTTTTAACAAAATCATCAGTGGAAATCTTTACAGCAATTAGATTTTTTTTTGTTTTTAAAAAAGTTTAAAAAAAATAATAATTTAAGGATGCATAGAATAGAACCAGTAAAATGAAAGTGAAACTTTGGTCTTGAGGCAATAAATGGCTTAAATGAAGATGCTATTTACTTAAATGAGGAAAAACAAACCTAAAGATTACAAGTTTTAGCTATTTATAAGGTTTTAATTTTAATACTTCTTGTCACGTGGAAACAAGCCACATGTTAAAGATTAACCTACATAATTTCAAGATTTCAATAATTTTATGAGCTCTTTCTTGGTTTCTGTAATGAAGTTCATGGATAGGTCCTCAAGAAACTCCACAAACAGATGTAGACTCAGATTCTCATCAAGCCCATTTTTGCTCTAAACCAGTCCAGGAAAGCTTGGGAATCAAGATCAATGGTAGCCAAGATTGCTGCTGCTGCTGCTTTGATTCACAATGCTAGAAGTCTAGAAGTAGAGGAGGTGTTATTAATCAATTCCTGTCATAGAGTTTTTTTCCTGGAGACACAAATTAAGGAATACAATTTAGAGTACTCTGAACATTTCAAAGATAGAGAATTCTAGTAAGTGTGAAATAAATGCTTTAAATTATTCTTCAAACAAAAGAGGAAAAAATTCAAGAAACAAATTGTTAGAGAAAGCATTGAAAAAAGATGAGAAAAAAGAAACAGAAGGGTCTTTACATAGTAAAAAAGAAAGGCACTAAAGTTAAAGACTAAAGATTTATCTAATTGCAAGAGAAAATACTCAGGTGTCATAGGAAATAGAAAAAGGTATAAAAATGTTATCAACTAGTACAGTTTAGAAATTGATGTCCACAATTTCTAAAAGTATAGTTTCACAAATTAGACCAAAATACAGAGGCACAAACCCTTAGCACAGTTATTTTTGTCATTCTTTATGCTCTGTGAGGGAAAAAATCATAGAGAGGTCAAAGGATTTGTTTTCTTTATTTAAATACTGAAAAATTCTGAACTTCTGTGCTAATGAGGAGTTCACAGAGAAAAGTTTGCTCTGAAAAAATCTATTATATATTGTTTTAGAAATATCACTGCTAAAATAGGTCATTTAGTCACCTCCAATATGAAAGGTACTTAATGATTTCTTCTTCCTAATTAAGCCTCTAGCAAGTTTTGATCATATGTTATATTCTATTTAGGGTTTGCATGTATGAGGCTTATAGATTTTTCATAATAAATGACAAAATCAAGGTGCTACATAGAGGAATGACACTGGAATAAACTTTCAGTATCTAACATAATTGGGTGTTATCTTGAATAAACAAGATTTTGCATTTCAGAAGTTAAATGAAAGAAGCAAACTTTAAAAACAGAAGACTAAATAGTTTTTAAAAGTTAGATTTTGCTGGGAATGGTGGCACATGGCTGTAATCCCAGTGGCTCTGGAGTCTAAAGCAGGAAGATTGCCAGTTCAAAGTCAGCCTCAGCAATTTAGAGAGGCCCTCAGCATCTTAAGGAGACCCTATCTCTAATAAAATATAAAAAAGGCTTGGGTTTGTGGTTCAGTGGTTGAGCATCCCTGGGTTCTATCCCTGGTACCAAAAAAAAAATGTTGGATTTTAATATTTTCCAGAATAAGAGAAAAAGAAAGAAGATAATAATAAATGTTATTTCTAGACTCAGGCTTTGAACATGGATGTTGAAATTTTTAATATTTTTCTGATTTCCTTTTTAGTCTTCATCTGTATTGTCTCATTTATTTTATTTTCACTCAATAATTAACTGATTCAGCATACATGTATTTATATGCCTGTTTGGATTTCAGAGAAGTAGGATGAATAGAATCAGATAGATGAATTAAGTCCCTTTTATCAGGAATATGCCTGGATAGAACCAGATTTTTATTCAACGTTGTATCTGCATCTGTGAAGTGGGAGTGGGGGTAGGGTGGGGAACAGGGAAAATGTCATGTACTGATAACTGATTTCTTTGACATCAAGGCATCTTAAAGCGAACTAGGCAATCCTAGTCACAATTATACTACATACACTGTTTGCTAAGACATAACCTAAGCTTTAAAATTTATTACACACCTATATTTTATGCAAGGTTAAAAAATGGAGCAAAGATTTTTGTTCTAAAAACAAATGCAATGATTTTAGCAATTTCTGAAAAGGTTTGCAAAGAGTTTCCTTTCAGGGATATTTCCCAGTAGAACAGATCATTCCTCACATTTGCAATCCTTTGGGGGAAAACAGAGTTCTCAGTTACTGTTGAGGAATGAATTGCCTTTTGTCCCACCGGCTTTTTTTTTTTGAATCTAGAATGAGTTTCTATGGAATACTTTGCACATTATCATGGACTCCAATAAGAAATAGTGGGGAACCCCTACTTTAGGGAGGAATCAAAGGTCACTGAACTTTTCTGCACAGCTCCAGGGAGATAGCTTAAAATATTTCATTGATTTCTTGGCCCTGAAAGAAAATAAAATGAAAATTAGAAAAGAAATCCGAAAAGAGCAATACAAGTGAAGTAGATGAAGGAAGGCCTTAAGGAAAACAATTAGAACAACCGAGTATGTGTACTTTACTGAAATAACTCAGCTCCTGCAGTAGACTATAAATATCTGCATTTCTGGAGACCATCTTTAGTGCTGGTTTATAGGCAATATAAGGTATAGTGAGAGTGGAATTCTAAGAAAGCCAGCTTGATATGATTTAATGTTTTAAAGTGAATCATATCAGTTTGAAGCAAAAAAAAAATTATTCCTTAGGGAAAGCCTTGACTTATTGAAATGAAGAAGGAGCAAAACAGAGTACGCTGTTGGCTGTTTTCAGTGAATGCAGAAGATGAGCATCAGTCCTGAGAGAGCACAGTTTTTATGTTTTTGGTTTGATTATTAGTAAATTAAAATAAAATCATTTGGGGATAACTTTTGAATGCCTAAAAGTAAAACATAATAAAACCATTTAGAGATTATCAGAATTTTGAATAATTCATGAAAGGAATAATCTGTGATAAGAAAAATTATCATTTACATCAGAAATATAAACATAGTTCAGTATAACCAAATCTTGGTCATGTGTTATGATTTGAGTATAGAATGTATTTTGTCAATTTTAGATGATTCTCAAAACTGATTTTAGCAACTGTATTCAGGCTCCATCAAACTGTTCCTCTGCTGTTAAAAAGGAGCCAGTTAACTGATGAATATTTTATCTCTTTTTTACTTCTCTGCTCACCCACTGGGGTAGTTTTGGATGAATAGTAAAATTGCCAAAATGGAAGCTACCTTGAGGAATGAGGAGAAGAAAGCATGGGTCAAATGCTCCACAGAGCAGACAATTACACTTAATGACTTAGAGGTGGCTGTGGTTCATTAGTACTCACAAGAGACACTTCCTAAGAAACGGGAAGCTATTGATGATACTTTTAAAATAGAAATAAAGTATGCTGCTTTTTATAAGTAGTCAAACTACACAATGCGACACTGTATTGTACTGTATTATAATAATTACAATGCATTAACTTCTGAAAAATGTTCTTATTCTTAAAGTAAAAGGTCTGCTGGCAAATCTACTTCTTGGCAAATTTTTATTCACTAGTGACTAGTAATGTAAACTTATTTTAGAGAGAAAAATGTAAATTGGATATATATACCTTTCAAAAGTATTCAGCTACCTGTTGGATGATTTTTTTATGGTGGCAGAAGGCAGAAAATCAACTCTTTGCAGGAGAAATTTTAATGTCCTCCTGTATTGCTCTTGAATGGTGGGTGGCTGTAAGAGTGCTGCTGTGGACTCATAGAAGCACCAAGATAAAAATGGTTGGAAAGGAGCATGGAATCCATTCTTCCATCCACAGCAGGGTTTTGCTGCAGCAACCCCGGATAGTGAGGCAGCCAGTCTCTGAATGATATTCAATGTGTGAGATTCCATTTTCCTTTCCACGACCTCTTCCAATGTTGCCAAGTAGACCTATTTGCTCTTGCTCGGTTTTTTGTCAAAAGAAAAAGTGGTTGCTGGCTATCCTCTACGCAATAATTATTCATGTTCTTGGAGTCATTTTGTTAATTCACATTTTCTTCTTTGACAGTGACAGCAAGATGCTTATTTGGGTTGGGGAAGAATTTCTTATTGCATCTAATTCCTTTCACTTCAGTTCACTACTAAATTGCAGTGACCTTTCTTGGGTTGGTTCTGTTTAGTCATTTTGACTAGGGTCATCTTAGTCCAATACTAGGCCAGCCCCTAAATTCTATAACTCACTGAAGGAGATGGTCACAGTGAGACTGTACTATCCTAAAGATTATCAGAGTATCAGAAACATAAAGATCAAAATTTCTCCATTTTTTTTTTAGTATGACTGGAAGACAATTTAGCAAAAATCATTAAGAACTACTCAAAAATTTCCTTCTCAGGGAAGACTACCTTGATTATCTTAATTGTAGCCTAACTAATACCTTTCCTAATCTGTTTTGCCTTCTTACTCTCTTGTACTTTTTAACTATGTACTTAACTATATTATTACTTTCTACATGTATATATGTGTTTACTTAGGAGTATGAAGGTTATTATTTAAGGATCATGTAATTTAACTGTCTTCTGCATCTAGAAAAAAGTTCTACAGGAGACAAATAGCTGCTTTGCTCACTGCTGCATTTGCAATGGCCTAGAACAATGCTTGGCACAGGGTAGATAGATTAATAGATTATTAATAAATATTGAGGAATGGGAAAATTAACAGTACTCATTGTCCTCAATTTCAGAACTCAATTTCAGCTCTCTGCTTGAAACATTAATTTTTTTAGAGGCCATATATATAGCTTTTTTTTTTTTAATAGAGAAGGCTGATGGACTCAACAGTCTTTGCTTAACCACAGGACAACTGCCCCCAATTGTTAACATTTTCACTCCCATTGAAGTTCTTTTACAAAATTTAGGTATACAGATAATATCCAGGAAAACTTTATTTGAGACAATCCAGAGAGCACTTCCTTCTCCATTCTATGTTATTTAAAGGAAAACATTAACCAGGCAGAATTTTTTAAAGAAGAAATTTCTTACAAATATTTTTACAGTATGACTGTTTCCATGAAGTCATATAATCTTTAGAGTGATCTTATGAAATCTATTCTATTATTGCTACGAGTACCTTATATGATATCATTCCTCTAATAAGTTCGTGAACTAGGGTTATGATGTGGTTGCCTGACTTGAGGCTCTGTTTCACCATCTACGTACCAACTATGCAGTTTCACATCATGGTTTACTTTTCTGAGGGTGGCAGAGGGCCATTAGTTGAGTCATGAAGATTTGTAGGTGATGGTTTTGGTGGGGGGGAAAGTGTCTTTTTAGTCCCATAGAGGGAATTTTACCAAAGTTCTTACAGAATACTGTGTTACAACTCAAAACTAGAGATGATTTGTACAAATCGTATGTCAGATCTTAGGACAAATTGCAAGTACTCAGAGACCCTAGCTGGTAAAAAGTATAGCCTTGCATTTGAATACTGGACATTAGTTGATCATGTTTATATAAAAAGAAAGATGGGTGAGTATATGCCAGCTACCAGTCAATGTAAGCATGAAGTTGGGGTCAATTCCAGATGCTTTTCCAGGAATAAAAACATAGAACCAAATGCTGCTGTGTCAATGCCAAGGCCATTCAGAGGACAAAAATAAGTGTGGAGGATAAGTAATGGAAAATTCTTGTGTGTTACAGAGATCCAGATCTTTATATGCTTGCTTTTTAATGGTGAAAACTTTAAAATAAATGTATCAGGAATGCTTTGCTGCAAATTAACAAGGTCATAAGCAATCAGCAAGGATGCTAAATGTGTCTTTGAAAATTCACTGAGATTTTTAAGGCAACATAAAACTGTAGGCATTCACTTGGAATCTGTTATTGATTAGTAGATGGTTGTGCTGAAACATCAACATAGTAATTAGGATGTCCTTTAATTAGTTCAACCTCCTTCTGCTTCTTTTCTTCCTTTGAGCATTCTTTGGCAATACAGGATGCTAAAAGGTTGTAAATGTAGAACCCCATGTAATTTTGTTATCATTAAGTGTGTTTGGTTCAATTACAGCTTGTAAAGGAATGGTGATTTCCTTGGCTTTTTCCTTTACTTTAAAGTTTAATTATGTTTATGTATTTTAGGCTTAAATGATAATTCATTTTTTACCTCATTGATTGTGTATAAGTATATTTTTATTGTGTTAGAAATGGGTTAAGGCAGACTTCTTGTAGGATGGTATCTTCTAAGTAGCTTTTGTCTTGGTCTGAACCAACTATCAACTAACATATCTACAAGGATAAAAAATTATTAAGAATGATCATTATGTTTTTGGAGAGTGAACAGATTGGCAAAATATGAGATGATCTTCCACTATATACAAAACCTCTGAGGCAGAGTTGCATGCATGTTTTACCTTCAAAAAAATGCAGGAAAAATCAAATACATTGCCTTGAAAAAAAAATAGAGTTAAGTAATACCTATATTGTGTTGTATTGTTCCTGTTTCAAAGATTCCTCCAGGAAGGCAGGTTGAAGTAGTCACACATCTTCCATGTAAGCATTGCTTGAAGAAGAATCCAAAGTACAGTTTTCCTAACACAAATTCCATTAGCATTCTGTTTCACAATTCATATGAATTACTGAGAAACAAAAAAAGTTGAGTGGGGAAGTTGAAAGCTAAATCACTACATCTTACTTTAAGAGGTAAAATTCTACTTGTGGAAGTTTTGAATTTCTGGTGTGCCCTAGGAGGCAAAGGGTGAGTACTGGTAGGTAGGCATAACGAGTTTCAGTGTCTATTATGATTTCTATCAATTCATAGATGAGACATCCTACCATAGAGTGGATCAACCTTGTATTTTAATTTAGCAAAGCTCCACTAAAGGCATGCCCATAGGCACTGTGAAAATGGCTGGAATCCTTTAAACAACTTGCCCTCTGCGGGTATATTTCTCAAGCATGTTTTTATCCACAAGGAAGTGGATGTACACTGGGAAAAGTGAAAAGTCACATAGTGTTCAACAGTAAACATCATAATTGAACAAATGTCTTCCAAATTCAAGAGCAATAGATAAATAACATGGCCTATATTTAGCAGCTATAAAATAAAATTGAAAGTTTGATCTGAAGATTTCCATAGCAAATGGAAATTGAAGCAAAAAACAAAATCTATAGAAATGTAAAGACAAAGAAGAATGGCCAACAGGAAGAATTTCTAAGCAAGTGGCTCAAATGAAAAGAGAGATGAAATATTAAAAGCAGAATTAATCAAAACTTTAAAAATCCATATTAGAGGATTTATTGAGTTTTATTGATCCTCTGAAAAGAGATCACTAATGGGGTGACACACTTCGGAATATTTTCTAAATTAAGAAGAAAAGATATAGAAATGAGCATAATCAGAAGGGTAGTGATAGACATGGAAATTCAAATTAGAGAGTCCAAAGCGAGTACTATGCAGAATTGTTTTTCATAAATATGAAAAAAAAATGTAAATCCTATGAGCATGCAAATAGAAAACAAATGTTAGCTAAAAAGAAACATTAAGGTCATTTAAATTTCCTTTTATGCTACATTAAATTCCCGAAGCAAAAGAAATACTATACTATCTATTTAAAACAAAAATGTTGTCAATGTAAATGTAAGACATAAATAATTTTATACCTAATTAGCATAAAGTAGGCTAGTATATCCAATAACTTAGAAAACATGCCTACTCAACATTCATCTGACAAAAAAAAGTTCTGATGACACCAATCCAAATTATTTTAAGGTGAAAATTTTTTAAAATAAACTTAAAAAGTTGTTAGTGCTAAGGATATTGTTCTGACTTTTTATGGATTAATAAATTGAGCCCTAACAAAAATAAAACTCTAAAATTATCTGTTACATAACTTTAAAAAAAAATCAAAGTAAAGTGATACAGTTGGTTAAATTCATGTGAGCCAGGTTCAAATTTAAGTAGTCTGGCTTCACGACTTCACTTACTCTACCCTGTTGCCTTGGGAACTGTGGGGCCATACGATTGGCAGTGGCCTGTAGCATTGAAAGCGGATACATAATATGCTATTGTAGAATATTTGTGTTGTAATTATTCAAATGCAAAAATAGCTGAGAAACAACCTCCAAAGAAACACTTTGATGTAAAGTTCAAACTTTTGTTGAAATCCTGTGGGTATGTGTTTGCACAACTTTGTTTACAATATTTTAAGAGTGTTACATAAAGTCTCATTGCAATAATGTTGGAAAACCCTCAAGACCACTCTTACATTCAGTAACTCACTAGCAGTATTCTCAGAACTAGTGAAGCCATTGTACTCATGGTTAGAGTTTATTATCTTATGAGAATGCAGATTAAATCAGAATAGAAAGAAAAGGTACATATGGCAATGTCTAGGAGAGACTAGGAATGAGCTTCCTGTTGTCCACTTGCAGTAGACTTGTATAGACTGTGTTCATCTCTGCTAGGAAATATATGTGTCAACATGAATAGGTCTTTCTAAACCAAGGGAGCTTCATCCTTCCAAAGATCAAATCCTGTAGCCAGTTTCCCACCCTTTATCACTTGTTAGCATTCTCTGTCATTGCCCAAAGCCCTTGTGTAAACAATGACATTCTTATGAGTCAAGAGACTCCAGGGGTTTAGAAATTATCTCTGAGAAGCCAGGTACAAGTAAAACACCTTTCTTTGTGTTGATATGGTATGGACTACCCCCACTTACTGAGTTAACTTTTTCCAATATACATACTATTAATACATTAATCAAGGTACAAAGAGTAAAAGATACATTTTTTTTCTCATTTCTTCTTGATGTTTTGGGGTCATTTCCAGTTTTTTAAAACCTTTTATAATTTAAGCAAATTTTGCTCTGTTGAGGTGTTTTTTTTTTAACAAGTGATGAACAGCAGTGAAAAATGCACACAATTTAAATTTTAGTTGACATTTCAATATAAAGACCTTTCCTCCTTTGTCTAATAGTTAATATGCTGCTACCTAGCATAGTCATTATTTTTTTCTTCAAAGTTTTTACTGCATAATTAAGAGTTTATGTTTGTTTTTTCCTTAAAAATATAAAATAGCAATGATACCGATTTTCTAAAGCAGATACTGATTTTTAAAGCTGAATTCTCTATCCTGGGACAAAATACAATTATAATGTACTGCAAAATTTTGTATGGTGATATATTGTATTTTTGGCTTTCAATTTATTACTTAAAAGTGTTTTCAAATACCTGACAATAATGAAAAGGATTTTAAATGAAAATGTATTTAGAAAGCTGAGGCACGAATACTGTGAGTTTGAAGCCAGCCTGGAGAACTTAGCAGAGACCCAGTCTCAAACAAACAAATTAATGAATAAATAAAATTTAAAAGCATCCCAACTGAAGTGGCACCCCCTTCCTCCACAGAAAAGTCTTAACTGTGCTTCTACAGAAATCTTCACCATGGCTGACTTTAGGACTGTCAGCAAAAGAGTCGCTACAAAAGAGTTCAATGTAGATAAACTTCCTATTTTCGTGTCGCCTTGTTTTACTTGGCCACGGCTGGGAAGATACCAGCACTCTAGGTGCTGGACACCCCCTTACTAGTTTTTCACAAACATATCCAATATAGTTGTTTGTAGAAATGTGCAAAGAAGGCCTCTGGTCTTGAGCTGAGCTTTACAGAGATATCTACATTTTTAAGAGAAGTTACCAATTGGGCTCCATGGTAACAGCTGGCAGGGGGAAGAAAGAAAGAGGAGAAGAAGCTCTCCCCTTCTCAGGTGTTGTCCTGGAAGGGTTAACTTGACCAAAACAGTGAAAGAAAAAGCTGCTTTTAGTGACCTTCTTCAGACTGTGAACTTCTGAGGCCCTCCCCTTACATGCTGAATATAAAACTCTGAAACTCCCTGAACTCAGGGTTCAGGAGATTGATTGATTACAGCAAAAGTTGTGCCCTCTGAGCCTGGCTGCAGCCAAAGAAAACTGTTTCCTGCTATCTTTGGTGCCTCGCCTCGTTTGTCCCTACAACAAAACAACAACCCAAAGCCCTCTAAAACTTTAGCCTCGTTAGCCCAAAGGGCACATTTCTATCACTATACTCTATCAACAATGTCTTCACTTAGAAACACACAACAGGGCCTAAGCGAACAGGAAATAACTAAGAATAATAAATTCATTTAAATGTGAATATTAATGAAGTTTAAAGCTCAGGATGAGAGAGAATAAGGTATAGAAGAGAGACAATTGAGTACATTACCAGGCAACTGATGCTGTATGGACTCCATCGCTGGGTGATTAAAAGGGTTAGATCCATTCCACAGACATGAATAATGGTTAAAATTATTTAATATTCATATTTCATGTTTAGACATCCTGATTCAAGATGCGTAATTTGCTCTCAGAAACAGGAGACAATATGTTCTCACATGTGGCTTTCATAGGATTCTTGTTACTTGAACTATAATTCTGTTTCCCAGGAAACTGGATTCTAGAATTATTGGATACTCCAATGTTATCAAAATAAGTTTATAAGTTGCTGTTTTACCATAAAAATTATTTTAGTTAATAAGAAAATGCTGAAGTTTCTTTCCAATACATTTTTCTCAATTTAGAGGTTGATTTTTAAAAATCAAAATCGTTGGTTATTCAAAATGATATATTTCAATTTTACAACTTTTTAAAAGTATATATTTACACTGTAAAATTTGGATTGAAAAAACACCAAAAGGGCTCAGATGCATCTCATTCTGCATAATGAGAATTCTCTCTGACTGTTTACATTGGCAGTTCCCCATCTCCTTCAAAGTAATATTGGAATCTCATTTTTTTTCCGGATGATAAATCAGTGCAATATCAGAATGTTTATATTGCATGTGTTATTCCATTCTTGAGGTGCAAAGGAGAAAATGATAATATTTTTATTGCATCAGTATGGAGCATAGAACTAGTTGTCATGAAGGCTGATTGAAGAAATGTTGCTATTTCAAATCCATTTAAAGTGACTTTCAAAGGCTGAGCTATAAAAATGAAATGACCAGAACACAGTAAAGCCAATGTGACTACTTTAATCATCTCAATAATTGATGCCAATGGCTGCAGCGATGGGATTGTGCAATCATCAACATCTGTCATTAGGACAGCCCACATGATTGGATTAGCAATGATGTATCAGGTTATTGTGTGTGTGTGGGTGTATGTGCGTGTATTTGTGTGTGTACTTATATACACATTTTATAGCTTATTTACCACCATTACATATGGAAGTCAGTGTGATAACCTGAGTTTTTCCCAAGCAGCAACCTCATTTTTGATTACTTATACATATGGCAGAATTTGGGAAATTGTCAGATTTTTCAAATGTAAAGAAATAAGTTCAACTACCTATCTCCAAGAAGACACTCTAAACTTGATATACATTTTTCATATTTTTAATGATAGTCTTAATACACATTCATTAAAAAATTCACTGACTGAATTAAAACATAACCATAATAATATCTGGCAACATGGCTATATCCAAAAGTGTATTTCTATATAATTCCATTTAAAAAATAAAAACAGTAGACTCCTCCTACATTTCATTGTTTTTCATTATTTTAATCATATCAAATGCAGTGAAGTTTGGGTGAAGAAATACTAAGGTTATTAATAGAAGTGGAACATCTTACATTTTGAAAGATGTGGAAGTTAAAATGTCACAGACTACATGAGTTGGATGACATATGTTTATTTGCAACATCATTTTCCCTTGCAAGGTGGCAGAGCAGATGAAAATTATGTTAGGTAAGAAAATATTGAATAAAATTCTTACAAGCATTTTATGCATTCAAGAACTTATTTATTTATTTCCATTTCCAAATTGTGTTCCATGGAGCATATTGATATGAGAAGTCCTGTTAAAAATGTAATTCACAATTAAGTAATATTGAAAAACACTGCATTTTTTATTCTCATATTGGAGGATCACAAAGAATTTTAGTAAAGGATCTAAGAAGCACCAGAATAATAAAAACTTGTTAGTTCACAGATTCTCAAACTTATTTATTATTTACACACTTTTAAAACTTAATATTACATTAAGTGAATGTAGAATGCATTTTGTAAAATATGAATAACGAAGAAAACATTGATTTTGTCTTCTAGAATATGGAAAAAACATATTAGTATTTTTGAACATAAAAAAATCATGAATGGTAAAAAAGTGATAAATTATTACTTTGCATTGGCTTCTTAGCATTCTGTCTGATGGTCTTCTGGAATAGTCCTAAGTTTCCTGTGAAGTGCAATGCATGGTTACTTTTTGATATTTACTTTTTGCCATCCATGGCCAGCTCCGATTCTTAGTTTGGTTGTTTCAATCACTGAGTTAGAATATATGTCTCTGTACTTCCTAGGAGTCCTAATTCTATATTCTAGTCAAGCAGTTGGTTGCCAGGTGTGGTGGCACATGTACGTAATCCCAGCAGCTTAGGAAGTGGAGGCAGGAGGATCACAAGTTCAAAGCCAGCTTCAGCAATTTAGGGAGGTCCTAAGCAACTTGGTGAGAACCTAGCTCTAAATAAAATACAAATTAAAAAAAAAGGTGGGAATGTGACTCAGTAGTTAAGCACCCTTGGGTTCAATTCCCAGTATCAAAATAATAATAATAATAATAATAATAATAATAATAACAACAACAACAACAACAACATTGTTGTTGGTGATCCAGGAGAGAAATAATCCAAGAAAATGGATAAATCAGGATTCTTAGCTTTTGTGAATTGGAGACTTCCTGAGGATGAGTTAGAAAAGGTCTGTCTGGGATGAACTAGTAAGAAATAAGAGAAGCTTGCTTGGTCCATCCCCATATAAAAGGGGTTCTAGGATTCAGGAAATTCTACCCAGTAAAAGAGAAAAGATAAATTAAATTAAAGTGGGTTGGGAGAGAGCAGGGAGGGTTTCTTCAGCTAGACAGAGGCTCCCTCGTCTCAGACATTACTTTACTATTAATCATTTCATGATTTTGGTAAAATGCAGATTCTGATTTACATGTTTGCAGTTGAATCCAAGATTATAATCTGTAAAACTCTTACAGGTGATGCCAATCCTGGATCCTCACTTTGAACAGCAAAGCTGTAGGACACATGTAATTTTATTGGCCAAGGAGAGAGAGAACCTATTGAGACAGATTAGTTCTTAGTCCAGGTGGGCTACTATAAACAAATACCTTAACTAGGTGGCCTATAAACAAGAGAAATTTATTTCTCACAGTTCTGGAGTCTGAGGATCAATGAGCTGGCTGACTTAGTAGCTGATGAAGGCATACTTTGTCAGTTATAGATAGGAACTTCTTGTTGTGTCCTCACATGATGGAAGGGATGAGAAGTCTCTCTCTGGCTTTATTTGTGAAGGCACTAATCTCATTCATGAGGGCTCCATTTTTGTGATCTAATTACTTCCCAAAGGTCCCACCTCCAAATACTGTCATCTTGGGGGTTAAGATGCCAACACATGAGCTTCAGAGAGACTCAAATATTCAGTCTATATTTGAGATAGTTATTACAGATTTTTACCAAACTTTCTTTAGCATAAAAAATACCACCTGGAAGCTCTTATAAATATAGATCCCATGTCCAATTTCATAGGTAACACATAAAGACTCTTTAGGGAAAAATCCCAGAATTTTTTTATCTTTAGCGATTCCCCTAGGAGGTTCTTGTCATTAGTAAGTTTATAAAACATGGAGTTTATGTGGTGTTTTCCCAAGATGATCCTCAGACCATTACATTGATTGTGTAAGGATTCTACTATCCTGAGGAGCTTATTGGGAATAATGTTTCATGTCCCCATTAATATTAGAATTCATATCTTCCCAAGACCCTGGTGCACATGAGGCTTATGAATCACTGATTATGCATGCTACTCTTCTATATGAGCTAACAGCTATTCTCCAAGCTTCATAGAAGGTGTTTATATATTCTAGCCTGCCTGAATTCACCCAATAAGATTCTAAAAGCAGTGCCTCTCAGAGGTCATTGTGGTTATGACAGTGGTAATTAGTGGAAGGGTAGAGAAAAATTGTTCCCTGGGGAGAGTTGGGCCTTTAGCAACCTTCATTTCTTAAAGATTTGTGTGTAAGAGTGCTTTAATAATACAAATAAGGTTTTATTTTGTTAGCAATTCCAGCCAACTTCAAAAGTTTAGAAAAGAAATGTATTTTCACAGAGTACTGGTGGTTGCTGGGATAGTTATAACATAGGAAAAGAAATTTTTTGATACATTGGAAGAAACACATATTTTTGAGTTTGATAGACTTAACATTGGCTCTGTTTCCTAGTGATTATAATCACAGCTAATTGTTATTCAGTGCTTATTATGAATCAGGTCAGGAGTTAGGTGCAATGCACCTATCTATATCACCTTAAACAAGTGGCTTAACTCATTACGCTTGTAATTTACTACTCTTGTTTCCAACTATGTGGGAATAATCTGGTCCCAGTGAATGAGTTGGTCCCAAGGTGCCACAAGACTGAAGGAAGAAAAGGCAGACAAATCCAGGGTTGCACAGAGTGTACCTCATTGAGGAACTTACTTACAAAAGTATGGTTCTAGGCAGCAGCAAGAGCAAATGGATCCCCACAATTTCCACCAGAAGGAGGGGTGAATAAATTGGTCAGGAAAATTGTAACTCCATCCAAGTTGGAATGTTTTGGTTTGTCTTAAGCTACAGTAAAGAGTCAGGCACCTTTCCTGACACCATGACCCAGCTGTAGAAGTGTATATGCCACTCACATGGTTTTGTGTATTTGTACTTTGTTGGGGAGGTATGCAGGAAAATCTAACTAGGGTTACTCAGGGACAATCAAGCTAGTTATGACTGAGGGAACCAAGCTGAGTTCATAACCAACCCATTATTTGTTCTCTTTCTCTAAAGTCAATTAATTAAATAATTTTCTATAAAAACTATCTCAAGTGACTTTATCTTCAGAATCTGCCATTACACATTGTACCACTCAGAGGTCCACAGTGCACCTCTGCAGCACTGGAGGTGCACAGTTCCTTAATGTTCTTAGATTCTGTTCCATTTCACATTCTCCAACTATTTCATCTTGTCTCATTTTAGATCTTGTAAAACACCGTAATTCATTTTCAGAGGTATTTCACACATATATCCTTTTGCTGTGACAGTCCTTTGACCTTATACCTAAAGTTCATAATTCCATTATTTACTTCTACTCTATCTGTTGCTTTAGTTTGAATCCTGAATATCCCCCCAAAGTCCATGTGTTGAAGAATTGGTTCCGAACCCAGTGAAAAGAAATTAGGTCATGTGGACATGCAATTGGAAGGGAATATTGAAACTCCAGCCTTTTCTCTTTTTGCTTCCTGGATGCCACAAGGTGAATAACTTTGCTTCATAACATCTTCCTACCATGACATTCTCCCTA